ATGCCAGAATCTGGGTGACTCACCCAATTCTGGCATGACCCTTGGACTGCCTTGGACATGGGGTATATAAACGGGAACACCGGAACACTTCTGTAATCGAAACCTTGCCGTTCAAGTTCGTTTCCGACTGGACCCCGACTCGAACGGGTAACGGGCCAAGCCCCGACCAGCCAAGGAGGGTTGCCGCCCCTTACATGGAGCGTCCGTCGAGTGGCCTCCGTGTAGGACTGTAAAAATTGGCGCTCCATCCAGCAGCGATCGTCGCGGAGTAGGCCATCCAAATCCGTGCCGTACAGCGGGTCATCCTCCGCCAGCGGCTCCAAAGGAACGTCGTCCGCCGGCAGGTCGGCCGGCGGGGCTTCCGACGGAATCACAGCTTCCTCCGATTCGGTCTCAGATGGCGCGGCGTCCTCTTGCGCGGGCACACATGGAACGCCCGGAGATTCCACCGCGGGGGGGGGAAGGGACGCCGGAAGGCTCGGGTCGCCGGGGAGAAACAGGTCGGCCTGGCGGGGAATGAACATCTCCGCCCGGGCGATCGCTCGGAGCGGGCGAAACCACACCGCGCTCGGCCAGTCCGGCGCCAGCACCACCGCCTCCAGCTCCGGCCGTAAGGCGAGGAAGGACATGAGCCTCGCGAGGAGGCTCCACGGGGGATTGCACCAGGACCTGGTGCCGCTCCAGTCCTGCTGGAAAGCATCCACTCCTGCCGTACCGACGTCCCAGTACTGACTGTTGAACTGGGCACAGAGGGCATTCCGGGCGGACGCGAATCGGTCCACAGAACAGGCCCCGAAGCTGCGGGCGACCTCCTGGAATATGCGCGGATTCAGGCGGTAGTCCTCCGAGGTCCGTATACGGGAAAGCCGGTCCGGCAGTACATTCTCTGCCAAGGGAATGTACTCCGGCTCCAGGAGAATCCGGCGCGTAGTACACACCGCCTTCAACTGACGTAAGGGCCTCAAGAGACTGGTGGCCCTGGTAGTCATGGAAAGGAGACAGTGCAGAACCACCTGGTTGTCCACCAACAAACGAACCCGCCGGGAAGTCGTCCCGGAATACCGGTGAGGAAAGAAACTGAGCAGGACCAAGTGTACGGCCTGCATTTCACGAACATTAATATGAATAAGCTCCCGATCAAAAAATCCCCTTGCAAGCATGGGCTCCGCCTGGCCCAAAGACTGAAACGTCGCCCCCCAACCCGTAAGACTTGCATCCGTGGCAAGTGTGCCCAGAAAAGGCAGCGAACCCGGGTGAAGAGCCCGGCCGGCAAGGCGCGAAATGTTTGTCCATGCCAAAAGGTCCAGGCGGGCTTGGGGGGTCAAACGAAGGCGATCCCGCCACGATCGTTTCCCTCGTAATAACTCATACAGACTCATCAAGAAAAAGCGGGCCAGCGGAAAGGCCAAATACAACGAAATGGCAGACCCACAGAATTGAGCCAAATGTCGCGCCACTACCCCGCCCGAGTGAAGGAGGGCGCGAGCCCGGGAAGCAATCGCAGCGGCCTTGTTCGGAGGCACCAGAAATTGGCACCGGGTAGTGTCAATGATCACACCCAAATGGGTCTTCCGTTGCACCGGATCCCACTGACATTTGGAATGCTTGAACTCAATGCCAAGAGCCTGAAAAACTCGCCGTACTAAATGGGACCATTCCCGCAAAGGAACCGGATCAGACATGGCCGCAATAAAATCATCCAAATATGCCAAAATCAACGCGGGCACCTCCCGCGAGTACTTTAGGTAGTACTGGAGAATGGAGTCATTACCCGCTAAGCAGCCAAATCGAAACCGAGTTCCAGCCCGTGCAGATGCAGCGGGGGTCCTTCAGAAACGGACCACAATGAGCATGACATGAGTGAAATAAAAGGGGGCCAGAGAGAGGCCAAAGGGCAGAGCCCTACAAGCGAAAATCTCACCACCCATTCGAAAGAGCAAGAAATGTTCTTGATCGGCGCGCATCCGAATGTGATGGTATGCATTTTTCATGTCGAATCCCACCAGAAAGTCATCCTTTTTCAACAGAAATCCGAAATCCTTTAGACGCTCATAGCGGAGACCGACCTTCTTGAGGTGGCGATTGACCCGCCGAAGGTCGATGACCAAACGGTACTTGGTCGTCCCGTTCTCCGCCGGCTTGGCCACCAAAAAGGCGCGTGAAATCCGGGCGTTGGAAGAAGGCTCCGTCCGGACGATCGCCCCCATCCGAAGGTACTCGTCGCGCAGCTCCCGCCAAGCTTGCCATTCCGCCGGCGTCTTGAGCGGGTACTCGCCTTGATCAAAGGGGGGCGGAGGACCCCCCGGGCCCCATTGGAGCGGCGCCCCCGTATGGATCCATTGAAGAACACGGGAGGGGGCGCCGATGCGTCGCCAGGCCGCGAGCCGGCCCTGAAGGCGCGCGTAGGGCGGGGCCTCTAGGCGGTCGGCTTGGGAGGCGCAGGCGGGGCGCCGGACGTCTTGGATTTGGTGCGCTGATGCTTGGCGCCGGAGGAAGGACCGCCGGGAGGCGAGGCCGCGGGAGCTTGTCGATTGAGTTGCACTTGATGTTGAGCCGCCGCGGACTTCGTCGCCAACTTGAGCTGCTGATTGAGGACCTCCTTGCGGATGTGCTCGAGGGGCTCGTCGATCAAGGGGTCCCAGAACCGTTGATGCACCGCGCCCAATCGTACGTTGGTCTGAAGCGCCTTCCACAGACCGTCGAGGGAGGTGCCCTTCTGCTCGCCGTGGACTTGTTGGAGGCGGATCAGGCTCTGAAGGCGCGAGGCGACGGTCACTTGGGCGTGGACGTACGGAAGGAGGGCCTCCCGGAATTCGGGGGGGAAGGCCGGGTGCGCCACGAAGTCGATCAGCGCAGCAGTGAGGTCGAACTGCCACGCGACGTAGGGGGCCTAGTTCTGATACTCCTGGAAGTACCCGGAGTTGGCTCCCAGGGCCTGCGCAAGCTGCCCGCCTTCGGAGGTGCGGCGGACGTCGAACCACTCGGGGAAGCGTACTCCCGGAGGGCGGACCACCGGGTTGGTCACCGCTTGCGGTAGGAGCCGGGGGTCGGACAGCCAGACTGCGTCAAGGGAAGCCGTAGGCGGACCGTTGTTGAACCGAACCGCTTGGTCGTGCAGCCACTGCTCGGCCGGAGAACGGTTCATAGAAAAGACTCGGCCGTAGCCGGAGGGACAAGGCACTCGGTGCCTGCGGGTTGTGCCAACGCAGTGGCGCGAAGCGAAACAAGATAAGGAGGGGGACCGAGGGGCTGCCTAAATAGCCGCCCTCCGCCGCCTTGCCAAAGCCCACCAAACTCGAGGGCGCCCTTGCGGGCGGCACCTCGGAATACCGTACTTTGACTGACCCACGGTACTAGGGGTGGCCAGAAATCCCAAGGGACGGGGTTGAGTAAACCCCAGGTTCAAACTGCACCGTTTGAATCGCCGGTGCAGCCCACACATCGTCGCCCTTGGCAGAAACCCATTAACAGGATAGTTAACTTCATTTATGAGCCCTTATGGCGGCAGCGAGTCAAAGACTAATTGGTGCTGGTTCAACATTTTTTGTTACGGCGTTCAACATTTTTGATACCGGCAGGAATCAAATATAGTACCACATTCAATGTGCTTTGGTACTAGTCTCAGTTTTATTTAGTACGTTGGCAGTTTGGTACCAGATTCAATATTGCTTGGTGCTAATTTCAATTTTATTTGGTACGGCGGCAGTCTGGTACCAAGCTCAATATTATTTCGGGGGGGGGGCACGCGGACCAAAGAGGCAAAACTGTCATGCCCGAGTTCTGGATTTCTCTCCTTGTACAATGGTGCATTTGTACTCATGGGATTTGATTGGGACTTCCGGTGTGAGTGCAGCCGATTGCTCCAAAGGGCGGGAGCAACCGGCCATTTCACGTACACCAGAAAAACCATCTTCAGTAAACACCCGCACTAATAGCCAGCTGCTGTACTTCTCCGAGTGGAGCACTGCAATGGATGGACAGGTGTGGCTTGGTGAATGCTGCACATCAATGGGGCTGGTTCGGACTATGCACTTCAATTCCATCAATCGACTTAAGCAGCCATCGTCATTAAGCATTCAAAGGATTCATTTTTGCAAATGTGGTCACAACAGGTTTGGCCACATGCAAGTTTACAGGTTCCCCTGTGGTCACTGATCATTTGGCCACATACAGACGACGGAATTGAACATCCACACCAGCTACTTCAGCGCAAATGTGCCAGTTGATATGGCTAGAGACAAATTGCGTAATGCTATTCATCTCAATGCATGTCTACGATTCCAGAGTGGTGGGCTATGGCTCATTTGCTGCACAAGCAAAGAGAGAAGCCAAAGATGCAGCCATCGGCTGTAACTATCGCTAATTCATACCGCCGGAAATAGGCAGTTCGATGTGCATGTGTCTGCGCACGAATAAGCATGGGCCTCGTATGCCTGGTCCTTTACGAACTGTCAACTTGCCCTGTTGAGCAAGAACTGTACAACATTGACACAAGCGCAGACAGCAGACCGACCAAGAGCAAAAGAAAATGGACTAGAGTCGCGTCAGAGCACAACCAACAACACAATCAAATCGAAGGCGAAATTATTGCCCATGTTTTTGCAGCTTGTATGCTATCCCAAGAGCAAAAAACGGAAAATCTCGGTTCAGCCCCACACAACCTTTTGGCTACTCAATCGTTGCATCTTGCCAAAAACGTGGCGATTCACCCATCTACCCACCCTTCGCTACAGATGTCGACCAACAAATTCCACATTTACGCACAGCAGACCTTGAAGTGGCCAGCACGCAGGCGGCATACCAATCCCCCGACCAATTCCAGTGCCAACCAACAGGCTTCCACAATGTCCTCCCCTAAGCAGCAGCTGACCAATTCCACAGACCTCCAATTCAACCGGTGGCTTGAAGGTGTCTTTGGAAATGCCAGTCATCCCCAACAATCTCCAAGAGCAGCGTTTATCAGCAAACGCAACTGCCATCAGTGGATTTCAACCTCCAGTTCAAAGGACTGGCAAGGGCACCGGTCCGATGCCGTTGCTCTGCAGCCTGTTGTTCTTCCTGCTCCTCAATCTGGAAGCCACATAGAACGCCAGCTCCAGAGCCTGCTCTGCATTCAGCCGCGGGTCGCAGTGCGTGTGGTACCTGGAGTTGAGGTCGTCTTCCCCGATCTGGGCACCTCCACCAACGCACTCTGTGACATTCTCACCAGTCATCTCCAGGTGGATGCCACCAGGAATGCTCCCCATCTCCTCATGGACATCAAAGAACGCCTCCACTTCCTTCTGTACATTCTCAAACCGCCGTGTCTTGAAGCCGTTCACGCTCTCTGTGTTGCCATGCATGGGATCGCATATCCATGTCACCACCTGGCCTGAACTCTGCACAGCAGATATGAAGTCTGGCAGGTGTGCCCTTAGCTTGCCCGCGCCCATCCGTGTGACAACACTCAGGCGACCTGGCTTGTTCCGGGGATTCAGGATCGCGATCAAGGAGACCAAATCGGCTGGATCAGCCTTGTCAGAGACTTTGATCCCTATGGGGTTGTCCACACCACGCAGAAACTCAACATGCGCACCATCCAGCTGCCGTGTGCGCTCACCGCACCACAGGAAGTGAGCAGAGGTGTCGTAGAAGAGCGATGTGGTGCTGTCCTCCCTTGTGAGTGCCTGGGAAAGCAATAGAGAGCAGAAGCTGCACAGTTCAATTCCTCACAAGATCTCGCTGGTAAACAGAATAGTGCCATCCCATATGATGACTCACATGGTGACAAGGAGAACTTTCCTGGATGCGCTCACAGTAGCCACAAAAGCATGGCGCTTCTGTCAGTGATTTAAGAGCAGAAGAACAAAACCCACAGGCACTAAACACGATGCGCAACTGGCAGACCAACGAAAATATGCAAATCGAGACATATCATGCCTGATTCTCAATGCTGACAACAAACATATTTTCCTTGTGGCACAGCCTGTTGATCCAATGACTAGAACCACTGTTTCTTTGGGGTTGGTTCCTTCTTCTCATGACTATGTCCACTTTATCTTTGGTAATGCCTGTTCCTTCTTCCTTCTCCTTTCCACCAATGCTTCTGTTGGACAATGATGACACCGCTGAAGGGAAACAAACAGCAGGCCAGGCACATAACGACTATGAACTGGCTTGTGAAGGATGCAATACTGCTATATTTCACCAGCCAAGCTGCCCTTGGGGAGGGATGCAGATGCATCCCTCCTGATCATGTTGCATTCGCATCGCCCAGCCAGGCCAACGCTCATCATTTCCACCACTGTACAGGCATGGACTAGATAGGCCCCAGGCTCAAACGCACTGGCCATTGTCTGGAATGGTCCATCAGAAGCTGCTGTGTTGCTGTTTTAGATCAGTGCTATTCCCTCAGCATTTTGCAACACATGTGTCGATCTTGCTTTTGCGTTCCTCAAAACGAAAGAAAATCGCTATCCTGAGGGGTTAAGCATAGAGCGGTGCTGCTGAATATCCACAAGTCCGATGACCAACGACTGGCACTGTGTCCGCATCTCTTCTGAACGACTGGAACCGCTCCTAATCTCCTATACAATGCAAGTTTTCAGAATTCAAAGGCACACAACAGCAATCTGGTCATGACAGCGATGAACACCAAAATCGCCTTGCATTTTCTTGCAAGCTGGCACAAGGCTCACATCTCTTTTCTTCGGGAGAGGGCCAGTGCTTGGACTCCCACTTGTGAGGACACACTCCAAAAGTAGACAACAACAACACTCGCTCTCTGTTCTGCTTAAATTTAAATATGAAGTCAGCAAAACGCCCCAAGCCACACCCACCTCCTCATAATCCAACAGTAGTGCCTCATGGCATGTGAAGAACTCCGTTTCCTTCATCAGAGGCATGTTGGAGTCGAGGCCACATGCCACCATGAATGAGATTGTCTCCTCCACTCTCTCCGCAAGATCGATGTACGATTTCCCCTTCTTGGTGGCACCCATGAAGTCCAGGTTCCATTTTGAGACACGTTCGAGGGAGGCATAGCCTCCCGAACTGAATCCCCTGAGAAGGTTGAGGGTAGAGGCACAGTGGTTGTACGCCTTCAACAATCGCCAGGGATCAGGCAACCTTGACTCGGCATCAAAATCGGCTCCGTTAATAATGTCTCCCCGGTAGGATGGCAGCTCCACACCATCCTTGACCTCCGTGGGAGAAGACCTGCATTTCAGGGAATCCATTCATCACAGCACATGTTGCAGAAGAAGCTCAAAATCTCACGTGCACCTCAGGACATCGACTGCAACCCAATCAGCACAACAAACCTGGGTTTTGCAAACTGCCCCGCCATGCGGCCCATCTTCACAACTGGCATACCACCTCCAAAGGTCATGATGACTGACATCTGGAGCAGCACACGGTAGGTGTCCCGGATGCGGTTGGCACTCAGCTGAGCAAAGGCCTCAGCACAGTCCCCACCCATCAGGACAAAACCCTTGCCAGCAGCAGCCTCTGCCAGCTTTCCCTGGAGCGTACGGCACTCCCCTGCACATGAGTTTAGAATGTAAGAGCACCAATCAATACAAAAAGAATCCTCAATCAATGCCGGCTATGGGTTTCTGGCAAGGTGAAGTATACCTGTGCGAGTTTAATTAGACATCTAACAGTCTTAAAACAAGCTAAGCAGGGGGCGATATCGATTCTCAAGTTGGGCATGGTTGTTGCCCACAGACTTGCCATCACCTCTGGCGAACAAACCAATATGGCCATGGTTGAGTGTCACAAACAGCAGACGAATTGCCGACAACCTCTTGTGCTAGCACACACACATAGGCAAGCGTAAGGGGGAGCAGGATGCACAACTCAGGTTGTCAGCTACACTTCTACATCTCTTGTAGCTTGATATACATAGTCCCACACACACAAGGCCACGTTGGTTGGACGGAGTTGGTGCCCGATGTGCAACCTATCTGTCACAAAGAGGCTGCATTCCCACTGCCCAAGCTGCCAAGGTGGCTTGCCCTGTGGTCGTAACAGTCTATACGAAGCAACTACTGTCTAAAGCAGCAACCCAAGCAAGATGCATGATAACAACTCTGGAAAGGCACAAGGACCACAACACCACTATGTACAGGGAAACGTGGGAGTCAAGTGAGGTGGGGTGGAACTGCACGATGTTTCATTACTTCCAGCAGCAAAAAGTGTCCTTCACAAGAATTTGGGAAAAAATTCAACCCAGAGCCATTCGTCAACACTTTTCTGCCATGGCATGCAGCCCCCTTGACCTGTGCCATTGCAAGCAATAATGAAAAGCAAGCCGCACAGTGCTCTCCTGAGATTCTTTTCATCACTGCAGGATAAGGAAGCTTCCAGTGCAACAGGAAATTCTTGCACATTCCTTGCTGTCAAGCACACCATACTAAAGGGCGTAGCATGACCACTGGCAGGGGCAGGGAATTTAATAATTTACCAACAACAATGACGAGGTTCTTGTGAAAACGAAGAGCGCTTCATAGCTATCCGCAGTTACAGTGGGGTATGACATTTCGCCATAGAACTGCGGACTTCGACACAAGGCTATTGAATCTCGTCACATTATAATCAACCGCCTCGCACACCCCAGCAACAGTCCTTCCACGGCAGTGCAATGAGCAGTGCGCACTGCCAACGTGACACCTTGCGCAGGTGTCCCAGGAGTGATGCTGTATTCTTTCAACAATCAACTTCAACACCCCTCTGCATATTGCTGCTGCATCCCAGCCCTGCTGCAGCGAAGATACGTGCATCTTCTCTGACAGTAAGAGAGATATCAGAGAGCAAATGGCTCAGAGGCAGTGTCTCGCACTGCGTGACGTGTTCCCCTGTCCGTCACAGCTCTTTCTTCGTCGAACACACTCGCAAAAGCATCAGATCCCCGACAAACAAACTCCCAGCCCAGCCTTAGCCCCCAGCCTCCACTGCCCCGTACTTCGCAACTTTCAACGTGCCTGCAAAAACCAGCGGCGGCATCCGCCTGATCTCTTCCAGGGCCCTCCGATGCTCCTCCGCATCGGGGTACACAGGCTGCTGCAGAGCCTCCCGCCGCCGCCAGCTGTCCATCGTCCAGTTTTTCATCTCCGGATCGACTCCAGCGGCAGGTGGGCTGGCTACGGCGCGGGAAGCGTCCATGCCATCGCGGGCCGCCACCGTGCATCGACGTGGCGGCCGGCCAACCGGCAATCGCGCGATGCTCCGCGCCAACGAGGGCTGTCCCGCCACCGATGGTCCCGTGACCCGCATCTTGAGCGCCTGAGCTATTTTTCTCGGACCCGGTGGGCCTGGCGGTCGGCAAGAGCAGGAGAGCTGCCGTCGCGACCGCCAGGTGCCCACCTGGGAAGGAGATGCTGGTCAGTATCTGGGAGATGCCGAACGGCAGCGCTGTTTGGCGGGGCCCAAACCTCACACAGCTCAATATCTTTCGTTATGGCAGTTAAAACGCCTTTCCACCTCAGCAGGCTTGCTTAATACTCCTGGGTCAGAACAAGGGTGCGGAGTAATACATGTAGTTTCTCCCAGTACAATTTCTTACCGGATTTTCCTACTAGATGCGTTTTTACCAACGGAGTGTTCTTGATGGTATGTGATATGGGAAATTGGGTGGGGCCCATTAAATTTTGGGGCAGACGATGCCCAGCCATTAATGTGCCATAGCCCCAACCCAAACGCAGGCATTTTTGCTTGCTGTACAAAGAAAAGACGCAGATGCTTGTCGTCGTCCATGGCGCACTCCAGCTTCACCATATGCAGAAGGCAGGCAATTGATACCCCAACACTATTGAATGGGCCAAGGTTGATTAACTCTTCAATGACGGACGTGGTGGGCCAGGGCGCCATGGACTAAACGTAACAGGGGCACCACTGATTGAATTTGCATCTTGTTGAGGGTGCAGTTGGCGAAAGGTTTTGCTCCAAAATTGGACATATGTTTTTGTCTAGAATAATCACACCTCGTTGTGTCCCAATTCGCACCACGCTTAAAATGCTGCCATCACCCCATCAGTAGCACGCAACAGCCGCCTCATGCTCCAGCCACCTAGTTCCGCAAGTTGCGAAGTTGATGGCACTCCCATCAGACTATCAATAGCCTTCGGCTTTACAACAGCTGATGCACAGCTTTGCCGCAGCCAGCCACGATTGCAACGACGCCCCACTTTATGATTGGGACAGCAGCGTGTCACCATCTCCGTTCGATTCTCCCGCCGCGCGTCGCTTCCGTCGATGCGTATTCAATGGTTGCACAATGTCGTCCTCCCAGCCCTTCCTCAGCGTTCCATCAGTGACTCCTATCCGCAATCAGCATCTAAAAGGCAAAATTGTTTCTTGCCATGTTCCGTGTCGGTCTGTCTGACGACTCATATCTCAGCTTAGATTACACCAATCCACATTTTTAGTGGCAATCCACTAGCATGCATAACATATGGCTTTTAACACTCATGCGGAGGTGCGCATATAGAGACTCCCATCGATACATAGCAACTTGCATCGTGTACTCTCAATCTTTCTGACCTCCCTCGACAGAAGCTCAAAATGGATCCGGGATTCAGCCTTATTGTCCACAGTCAAAACTCTTATGACCTGTCATACAATTTCATTTCTAGAAGCACTTCTCCCCTTTAGTATTTTTCTCATTTGCTTCCTTCAAGGGCCTTTTAGAGATCGATGCAGCTGTTCTGTGAGTATTCCAAGTGATTCCACGTGTAGTATATGCTGTTCTATGCCATCTTCTCCATGTTTTGGCACTTCCCTTTTGAGATGCCTTGGTGGCGTTTTCAGGCCGTCCCCAGCAACATTTTCGTGTCGAGCGTCGCAAATGCATGGATGTGCTGCATTTAGCCCTCACTACATATATGCAGGCCTATAAAGGCAATTCCACAATGGAGTCTCCAATGGCGGCCAACTCATCCATGCTCTCAGGATCGGGCATGCTGGCGTGGCGCAACCAACTGGTAAACCATTGGAGGAAAACATCAGTTTCTAAAGGCGAGAATCGTGTATGAGCATCCACAATTGCCAGCATCACATTAGTGCGGTTTTGCAGGGAGAACCTGTGTGCTGCAAGAATTGGTATACGGGTATTCTTGCCTATTTCTGATAGGCAAAGGTGCCCACGCGGCAACGAAATTAGTGACATCATCTGCTGTGCGCTCCGCAGAGCTACACAAACTGGCATTAGAATTACATCGTGCTTGTTGCTGAAGTGGAAAGACCTGAACTCCCATAATTCTGGCGTTCATTCAGATTCCGATTGTTTGCTGGAGCATTGACCACCCCGCCATCACTTGCACCTTCTTGCCATCGAGCACCACCCGCCCCATTAATAATAATACAAGCAGTTCTGCTTCCCTACACTCGAAGTACACAAGCTGCCGTGCATACCACATACATGCACCACACCACATCAGCACACCACATTTGGTTTGAGGCGTGCCCCTTCACCATCAGTCAAGAACCATCTTCTCCCCATTTCCACCTCACTGAGTCGATGATACCTGACGGTTGTGGTGTTAAAAAGTCCTATCCACACATCCCCCACCCCCTTCATTATGAGCCATGATTCATGGCACTCCGCCGGCCCATAATGCAATAAATATTCCACATCCCATCGCTCACGTCCCTCCAATGTGGACAATGCCCATTCAGTCACAGGCCAATGGCTCACGCGTCACCAATCGTCGTTGTTATAGACCTTTAGTAATGGGCCAAAAGCTTGTAGCCTTAAGGCCAGAGGGCGCTTCCAAATTCGTTCTTTGCAAGCAGCAAATAGTCAGTTCCCAGTCACTCCCTGAGCAAGGTCACTTCACGCGTGCGTGGACATCGCGCCTTCAGTGATAGTGTCGCCATCAGCTGAGGTGACGCCCTGCGTCTTTTGGGAGCCGTGTCGTTGCGTCGAGCAGCCATGGCGATCCATTCCCGCCAACCTTTCCGCTGAGCACGGCAGCTCTAACCAAGTCTGTACGAACGGATGGCCAAGAACACGAGAGCTCGTGGCTGCTTCCGGATGCATGGGGGGCCACAGCGGCGGTGGGCTGCACCCTGAAATAGCTAACGTAACATGCCCCAATGGCAAACCCCGCTTTCCTTCCATGCCATGGCTTCGACAAACTGAAAAAAATGCACCTTGTCCCACGCAAAAAATGTTTGCACCCCCCTGGAGTTCCTCGGACCAAAATTCCCTCAAAAAAATGCTTGGTGGTCCGAAAGAGTTCTAAGGAAAAAGAGAATAAAAATGAAGTCACTAAGGTCCGCCTTTTCCTGGCAGTTCAGACTCTCCCGTTGTTGGCACAGCCCCTCATTGAAGTGGCGGCCTGTGCCCCCTCGCAGATCGCAGAATCCCTTATCATCGCTCTGCATCATCTTGTACTGTATCGTTTTTTATCGTCAAAAAGCCACGAGGGCCCGCGGACAATCGTATTTCTGAACATCTTGTCGCAGAATGTTGCGCCGTATCGTTTTGTAACTGCCGAAGTCCTGTTTTACGGGGAGCCACTCCACCGCCGCCCAGTCTCACCCACCTCCACACCATCACCTTCCTTCGTCCTTCCGCGTCAGGCGTTATTCGGCCATGCAAGGCAGGCCGAAAGAGACGACCGAGTCCCTCACGCGTCTCGGTCAGCAAACCTCGCCTGCCTCCCGCCCGCAGCACCTCGCCATCTTTGGGTGAGATCCCGAGTTGGGCTGGTTGCCGAAGTTGGGCCCCAGCTCGTGGGACAGCTTCTTGACGATGGCGCCAAGCTGGTAAGACACGGTGGTCTTCTTGTCCCAGTTCATCTCGATGTGGGCCCCGCCCTGGTGATGGCGGATGGGGCCCCGACACGCCGCCACAGGTGAGTTGTATAGCATCGATGGCCGGGCGCCGTCGGAAGAGGCCTTCAGCGCGATGGAAAGCAAGGTGCGATTGGAGGAGCGCGTGGGGGAGAGCTGGCGCTCTTGGAAGCACGGGCTCTGCGGGGCGGGAGACGAGCACCGGGGGTCGGAGTCGATGGACTCTTGGGAGGTGGGGGGAGAGGAGGCGGAGTCGTGGTGCTGCCGCCTGGAGCGGGTCAGCTGGCAGGAGATGTACCTCTTCTCGGATCGCTTGTACAGGTCGATCGACGCCGGCCCCGACAGACGCCTTGTTTCGAAAGATGAGGCCGATTCACGCCCTGGACGCCGATCGATCGTTGGACTTGGCGACGGCGATCTGCTTCGAACCGCGTCGGAATGTTTGACCGTCTTCAGCGCGATGGAACGAGTTCGAAGCTTTCGCCGGTCCTCAGTTGGCCTCCTGATATCCAGTCCGTCCATCGTGGCCACGATTTGAATCTTGTCCAAGGTCTCGTCGTGCGTGACCCGCCGACCGCCGCCGAACACGCGGGTCGCCAGCCCCGTAGGCAGGCACCACCGCCATCTCCGCCCCTCCCTCTCGTGCCGATCTTTGACAACTCTGGAGAAGTCGCCGCGCCGCTGTGGCAGGATGTCAAGCACAAGCGCGCTGGCGTCTTCGGATGGAGCGCCGTCGCAGCGGCGGTGGGATTCGTTGACGAGGGCGGCCGCGGCTTGCGCAATGGGGGTCTTGCGAGCGATGCGCGTGGCTTCCTCCCAGGGGAGCGAGTCCCAGAGGCCGTCGGAGCCCAAGGTGAGGCGGACGCCGGTCGTGGGCACGATGGCCTGCGTTGGCAAAACGGACGCGCGGTGGGCGTGTGTGGCAAAACAAGGGCTGCCAACAAGAATTTGACTGAATGCCAGATACCCAAGACAAGATGATAGGATGGGTCAAAAGCAGGCACTGCGGATGCTATTGACACGGGGCAACAAAGAGAGACGGGTCTGCAGCACTGTGCCCGTCCGCCTGATCAGCGACGACTCTGGGATAAAGAACTACAGCGGATGCCGCTGTGTGCTGAGTGCAGGGACGAAAGGAATGGAGCAGCAATGCTAGAACCAATGCACCTGACGAAACAGCGCTGGGGAAATTGTGGGTTTTTTCGCACGTTGTCGAAACTTCTGAAGGAGGAATGACGCGATGTCCTTGACATCTTTCAGTAACAGCCCTGGTACTGCAAAGGTATGTTCATGCAAGCAAATATTCCATCGAAGGAATGTTGAAACAACGCAATCAAATATGCCTACACTGTGTCCAGTAGTACTCATCATAGCAGCAAGCCAATGATCGGCACCCCACTCCTGAGCACAGAACTTTGTGAGCCATTTTTCTACGATGAGGAAATTGATGGAAACGTCAACAAATGAAACAGGGATAA